GGGCGGGGCCAGGGGCGGGAGCGGGGTGGGGGAGCGACTGGAGCTGTTTGGCGGACTGGCTTGGTAAGGGAGGGAGAAACCTGAGGGGCGAGGGTCCTAGCGACCATCCCACCCACCCGCCAGCCTCTCTGCCTCTTGTGGGCAAAGACAGCAGAGGGTGTGGTGTGAGCAGCTCTGTCTTGACGTCCTGGCTTCAGTGTCGACGTCTGCAGTGTGTTCCTCCCACACGTGATCCTACAGCAGCCCCCGTGGGTGGGTCTGCCACCCCGACTAATTCATCCAAGGCCGTGCTGATCCTGTGGCTCCCTTGTGCTCCTGTGGACAGGAGTGTGGTGGGGTGGGCTGGTGGCCCACAGGGCACCATGGCTATTTGGGGAGTGGAGGTGGTACCCGTGGGGAGCCTTGGGTCCACCACTCCCCCCCAGAGATACAGGCCTGTGGCAGTGTCTCAAGCACCCAGGAAGACTAGCCTGCTCCCCCGTCGGTGCCCAAAGACCTTCCACACCACAGGAGACACCGCAGGAGGAAGGACGCCCATGGGAGATCCCACCGGGGCCCACGGCACCAGCCTGGGGAGGACTCGTCTCTGCTGGTGAGCAGGGGACATTGAGGGAGCCCTGACATGGTGGTGGGGCCGTACTCAGGCGGCCATCACACCCCCACGAGGTGAGTTCACATAAAGACCTTCGGACGGTGGGGGGTGGGGCTTAGACATAGGCACTGGCTGGACGGTGCCTGGGAGCGCAGATGTGGTGCTCCTCATGCTCCCACTCTGCTTAAGTTCTAACCTGGCAGTGAGGTCTTTTCTGTGACGTTTCTTAGGTGTGGAAGGTCAAGTAAGGTTGCACGTTCCCTGCCATCTGGGTGTGGGCTGATTCCCAGCAGGTTTCCCGAGAAGAGGCTGGGGGCAGTGAAAGGCAGCTGGGACAGCCTCTCTCCTAGACAGCCTCCCTCCTGGACAGCCTCCGTCTCAGGATCGCCTCCTCCTGGACAGCCTCCCTCCTGGACAGCCTCCCTCCTGGACAGCCTCTCTCCCAGAACAGTCTCCCACCTGGACAGCCTCCCTCCTTGACAGCCTCCTTCCCAGAACAGCCTCCATTCCAGGACAGCCTGCATCCTGAACAGCCTCCTTCCTGACCCAGAACAGGTGGCAGCATGGTGATTCCTCTGGGCTGACCTGGATCTGAGAGTCCAGGTTACTCTGCCCCTGCTAGTTTTCTGGGTGCCCAGTGGTGGGGGTGCCTTGGCAGGGTGGAGGCCTTCCCCTGGAGAGCTCTGGCCAGCTCACTTTGGGTGCCCCCAGTGCCCATCTCCTCGGGTCTCCATCAGGGCGTGTCTGACTGCCACCCTCTGAGCCCCGAGCCCTGCTGGAAAGGGGGTCCTGCAGCCCCTCCAGCACCACCTCATGAGTCATTCCCTGGGGTCAGCAAAGGTGGAGAGGTGACCCCTTTGTTTTATCTGGGCCATTTGGGGAAGCTCCAGATGGTGACCCCTTACATGTGCATGGCACCCAACAGTTTACAGTTGGCTCATTCCTCCTGTTTATGTGTATATGGCACTCAACAGTTTACAAATGGCCTCCCTCTTATATGTGTCATGTGACATTTACAAATACACGCATCACGTGACATTTACAAACATACATCCCTGGCTCCCATGTCCCACAGCCGGCGCCTGGGGGGACAGAGGCGGCTTGTTGTGGGAGGGGTTGGAACTGCTGCCTGAGCCAGGGCCCCATGGGAGACCCAGGTCGGGGGCTGAGGGTGTCCACAGGCTGTGCAGTGTTGCCATGTCCAGTCCTAGGCTGTTTGCCCTCGACCCCCAGGTTTGGGTCCCTTGGCACTATTCCCACCTGGTCCCTGCCCCACCCACGAACCCACGTCCTGCCTCTGGATGGGCCAGCTCTAGACATTCTGTGAGAGTGGAGTCTGCCACGTGGTCTTCCTTGCCTCACCTCCCTGCAGGAGGAAAGGGTGTTTTAACAGGAGCTGAGCCATGGCCATGGCCTCTTGAGGAGTCACATGCAGACAGGCTCTGACTCACAGGTGCCTCCCTGTCTCGACTCAGTGCTGCCTGGTGGATGCTCAGGTATAAGTCTTGGAGGCCACACGTGGCCCCTGTGGGATCTGTCTGCCAGGGTCAGCCCGGCCACTGTCTGGAGTGGGATGCCTTGCTTGGAGGGAGGGGAAGGGGTGGCCTACGTCACCTGGCCACCATCCCTGTCAGGCCCTGGGCAGCTGCGTCTCCTCCTGCTAAACAGGCCAGGCAACCCCTGGTTGCCTGCAGGGCCCGGTCTTCTCCTTGAGTTGATACCCCAGCCTTCTGGGGCCTCAAGGCCCTGTTGCCTCACCCTGGCATCCCGGTGGGCAGTGCTGAGACCACAACTGCTTCTGTGCCCAGACTGGAGCCATCCCCACACTTGAGACACCCCCTCCCCCAGGAAGCCTCTGAGACACCCTGCCTGCCCCAAGGACAAGCCCTGCTTGGTCCTATTCCCCTCTAGGGCAGTGACAGGCACAGCCAGTGGGTTGATGACCCTCCCACCTCCCTCCTGGACAGCCTTCCCCCGGAAGCCTCTGCCCAGGACAGCCTCTCCCCAGGATAGCCTCCCCCCTGGACAGCCGCCCCACCCAGGACAGTCTCCTCCCTGGAGAACCTCCCCTCTGGACAGCTTCCCCCAGGACAGCCTTCCTCCTGGACAGCCTCCCTCCTGGCTAGGCCTTGCCTCCCCTCTCTACACACAGCCCC